CTGCATGTCAGAGGTCAAATGCTCGGCGGTTTTGTTGAGAGGATTGTGATGCGTGTCGATGACGACGGGAGACACGATTCAGACTTGACCCTGTCGTGCTGATGATCAAAATTTCGACGGTAATAGAGTTATGCAAGCATACGAGGAAATGCTTTTTTTGTCTTCTATGGCGGCTCATTGTGTTGTCCCGTCCCACTGGACATCTGAAAGAGGAAATCATATTAATCTTTCACTGTTACCTCACACTCCAAAGCAACCTTCTATTTAGCATCAGTAGATCTCAGTGGAGAGTGTGATAACCTTCAAATGAGAACGAGAGAGAGAAAGAAAAGAGATGTGCAGCCCCACAGCGCCTGCAATAAGGAGATGATTAAATTAATAATAAATATACAACCCTCTATTCGTCTCCTCCAACACACACACACACTCGCCACCTCTTCAGCGAACTGCATTATCTTTCCCTTTTCGCAATCGCACGTCAGGCACAGCAAAGACGCGTGGATGGCTGAGAGGAAGGGAGAAAAAAATCAATACAAATTACGACGGAGAAAGTGGCACTGATGGCTAGAATTGCAGCATATGTTTACACTAAATCAGGCAATCTATCTTCATATGGGCTGTGTAATGCAGGCGGGGTCAGGGTTCGGCCCATGCACACACACTCTCCAATTACTCCCACTTCTCGGCGGGAGGCAGCCGTATCGATTGGCTGAGAGGACAGAGGCCCTGCAGGCAGCCAATGGGGCGCTGGGGTCAAAGTTCAGGGGGATTTTAATAAGAGAAGTAATGGGCTTAATTTCTTGGGGGTGTGATAGAGAGACAAAGCCCTCCCTCTCATGTCCCCTGTTCAACGGTTCATTAAAGTGCAAGTTTTATGGGATTGCTTTGTGAAATTGCTCTCATGGAAGCTCTTCCTCCGTTGTTCCTGTGTCTCTTTCCTTTTCTTTCTTCTCGTCTCATTTTTTTCTTTCCTTAACTCTCTCTTCTGTTCTTGTTTGTTAGTTCATTTATTTTCTTCTTTTACATTCCTCCATCACCCTTTCTTCCTTCTTTTGTTATTTTGTTCATTCATCTGATCATTTGTTTGTTGTGTTTGTTTCTTCATTCATTCATTCATTCATTCATTCATTTGTTCTTTCTTTCTTTAATTTCCTTTCTTTCATTCATTTCCTTTCTTCTCATTCATTTCCTTTCATTCATTTCCTTTCTATCATTCATTTCCTTTCTTAATTTTTCTCTTTATTTATTTATTTCTCTTCTTTCCTTTTCCTTCCTTTGTTCCTTCCTTCCTTCCTTTTTGTTCAATAATGCATTTGTTTGTTCATTCATTCGTTCATGCATTCCTTCCTTCCTTTACTTTCTTAATTTGTTATTTATTCATTTTCCTCCCTCTCCCTTCCTTCACTTTCTGTCTTTCTTTCTTTCTTTCTTTCTTTCTTTCTTTCTTTCTTTCTTTTCTTTCTTTCTTTCTTTCTTTCTTTCTTTCTTTCTTTCTTTCTTTCTTTCTTCTTCTTCCTTTCTTCTTTCTTTCTTTCCTTCTTTCCTTTCTTCCTTCCTATCCTTCTTTTCTTCTTTCTTCTTATTCTTTCCTTCCTTCCTTCCTTCTTCCTTTCCTTCCTTCCTTCCTTCCTTCCTTCCTTCCTTTCTTCCTTCCTTCCTTCCTCCTTCCTTCCTTCCTCCTTCCTTCCTTCCTCCTTTCCATTCCTTCCTTCTTCTTTCTTCCTTCCTTCCATTCCTTTCCTTCCTTCCTTCCTTCCTTCTTCCCTTCCTTCCTTCCTTTCCTTCCTTCTTCTTCCTTCCTTCTTTCTTTCTTTCATTCTTTCTTTCTTTCTTTTCTTCCTTTCTTCTCTTTCTTCCTTTCCTTCCTTCTCTTCCTTCCTCCTTTCCTTCTCCTTCCTTCATTTCCTTCCTCTCCTTCCTTCCTATCCTTCCTTCCCTTCCTTCCTTCTTCCTTCCTTCCTTCCTTCTTCATTCTTCCTTCCTTTCCTTCCCTCCTTCCTTTCTTTCTTTCTTTCTTTCTTTCTTTCTTTCTTTCTTTCTTTCTTTCTTTCTTCTTTCTTTCTTTCTTTCTTTCTTTCTTCCCTCCTTCCTTTCTTTCTTCCTTCCTTCATTTTTCCTTCCTTCCTTCCTTCCTTCCTTCCTTCCTTCCTTCCTCCTTCCTTCCTTCCTTCCTTCCTTCCTTCCTTCCTTCCTTCCTTCCTTCCTTCCTTCCTTCTTCATTTTCCTTCCTTCCTTCCTTCCTTCCTTTCCTTCCTTCCTTCCTTCCTTCCTTCCTTCCTTCCTTCCCTCTTTTCTTTCTTTCTTTCTTTCTTTCTTTTCTTTCTTTCTTTCTTTCTTTCTTTCTTTCTTTCTTTCTTTCTTTCTTTCTTTCTTCTCCCTTCCCTTCCTTCCTTCCTTCCTTCCTTTCATTCTTCCTTCCTTTCCTTCCTTCCTTCCTTCCTTCCTTCCTTCCTTCCTTCCTTTCTTCCTTCCTTCATTTTTTCTCTTCCTTCTTCCTTCCTTCCTTCCTTCCTTCCTTCCTTCCTTCCTTCCTCCTTCTTTCTTTCTTTCTTTCTTTCTTTCTTCATTCTTTCTTTCTTTCTTTCTTTCTTTCTTTCTTTCTTTCTCTCTTTCTTTCTTTCTTTCTTTCTTTCTTTCTTTCTTTCTTTCTTTCTTTCTTTCTTTCTTTCGTTCTTTTTCTTTTATCTCTCGACTGTTTTTTTCCCTGACACTTTGGGCCCTATTTTAACGATCTGAAACGCAAGTGTCAAAGCGCAAAGCGCAAGTAACTTTGTGGGCGGATCCCGGCGCTGTTGCTATTTTCCCGGCGGGATAAATGCCTCTTGCGCCTGGCGCAAATCTAAAAGAGTTTGGCCTGAAGTAGCTTCATTATTCATAGGTGTGGTTTGGGCGTAACGTGGAATAAACCAATCAGAGCGTCATCTCACATTCCCTTTAAGGGCAGGTCGCATGTTGCATGGCGGATTGCTATTATAACGGCGGATTTGCCAGGCGTGCGTCAGAGCGGTTCACAGCCGAGGAGACCGACGTTCTTGTCAGGACCGTGAAAGACAGAGAAGTGACGTTGTATTGCGGTGTTTTGCGGTGCACCTGTAAACTATGGCATAAACCCTCATGCAGTAACACCCTCAGACGGCACTGTTTATTGACTGTCTGAAGTAGAATGCATGCAGAAATAACAAGAAATTCAACGTTCAAATCAGACTTATCTATCTATTTATCTCTCTATCTCTCTATCTATCTATCTATCTATCTATCTATCTATCTATCTATCTATCTATCTATCTATCTATCTATCTATCTATCTATCTATCTATCTATCTATCTATCTATCTATCTATCTATCTATCTATCTATCTATCTATCTATCTATCGTGGGTGGGTTTCTCCCATCCCCATACAAATCATCAGCGTCGGTTAAACAGGCGTGGGAGGAAAAAAACTAAATTTTCATGGACACCACAATGATTTCCCTCATGTGTTAATATTTTTCCTTGTTATAATGTATGATTTGCAAAAATAAAAACTGCTGCATCTGTGTTGATGAGAGAATCAAGGTGTATGCGCGTTGTGCACCCGCTACATTATGGCCAAGCATGCGCGCTTAAAATAGCATAATGAACAACGCGCAACGCGCCACTGACTTTAGACTAGTTTTTTTCTGGTCAGTGGCGCAATTGTTTTATAGAAAAGCAAAATAGCATGAGGGAAAGTTTGCGCCGGAACACGCCTCCTCTTTGCGCTGAACCGCCCCGGGGAGCGCAAGTGTATTTCTTAGTTAACCGACGTGTGTCTGTGGAGGGAAAAGTCCGCTTTTGCGCGGGTGCAAAATAGGAATGATACATGCGTCAGTGAACAAAGTCATTTGCGCGAGTGCAAGATAGAGCCCTTTATATCCAGATGGCAGCAATTATCGCAAGCAGACTGTCCAAAAATGACACAACAAAACAATGGCACATAGTTTGCTTACTGAGTCTAATAACACTGCCGTTTGATCAAACCCCGCATTTCTTCTGACCCAGAGAAGGAACGCGATCGTTTCCACTGTGCCTTTTCTCAGAGCGTCCTGAGAGGACTGTTCTTTCACTTTCACAGGGGCATTGAGTCACAAAGATCCCCCCCCCCCCCCCCCCCCTCTCCTCCACAAACGCTGTCACTCCACAAGCTCTTTTCTCCTCCTCGCTGTGAAACCGGCTCAAACAAATTTGATTTAGCAGCTCGCCGAGACCATTCCCCCCGAGAGAAAGAAAACAAATATTGTTATAATGGTAATAACATCTATTTGCCACGCACGACAAAACGGCACCGGGCCCTTTGAAAAGAGCCCCCTGCTCCTGCGCCAGCCACCTTATTCTTATTCATGAAAGCACCGCTTATGCATATTAGTGCAAACTAGGTATTCTACTCGCTAGCATTTGGACTGTCAATCATCCTTACGGAATACAAGAGGCAACGGTGACAAAAGCGGACCGGGCAAGAAGGCTGACAAATTGTCCCCAAAGTCAATTTGACAGCCTTTTATGATTAATGGGCTTGATTATGGAGAAATATCTCCCTAACTGCTTTCCGGGTGTTTCTTTCTGCCTTTCGTATCGCGACGGAGAGATGGAAAAGAGGGGCAAAGAGGAGGTGCTGTTCGCTGTGAGAGAATGAAATAAAAACTGTGAGCAGGGTTGAGTGAGAAGAGAGGAATTGAATTAGGCAGGAAAGGTTAGAGTTTGGGAATAAAGAAGTGTAAAGGGGGACAGGAAGGCCATAGGGCCTCACTAAACACTTCATAAAACAAATTCACACAGGGGGAAGCTTGGATTGATGCCACAGGACAAATGTAAACAAATATACAGGGACAATTGTACATACACACGCACTGATATTTAATCCTTCTGAACGTCTGGCAGAGAACTCTGGGAAATGGACGAGATGACATAATGGCCTGTTTCTGAGAGAACTTGCAGTCATTTCAATCAAATAAAACATCTTATTTTCGGTTTGTCCCGCAGCTCTGAATGAACCCACCATAGACTATACGGTTTCCAGAGGCCTACAGAAGGTCATCCCTCGCCACCCTGGAGACCCAGAGAGGTAACCTAAGGTAAGTGCGGTCTGAAGTAATTGCTTTCGCTGCATATTTTTCTTTCTGTATAGTCAAAATCACACATTTTGCTGTTCCTGGGCTTGTTTTAGATTTACACAACCTCTCCTGTTTTTGAAAGAAAAGCTTGACATAAACTTTAAAATAGGTGTAAAACATTCGCAAGATGGGCATTTAGTATTCCAGACTCCGATTTGGCTTTGGTCCTTTCTTGCTGCAAAGGATGGGTGTTTTCTATGTCTGGGAAGCAAACCTTGATTCTGAAAGCCTGAGGGTCTTCTGTTTGATAGCGTAGAAGAGCAGCTCGTTCCAGCTTGTGAATGAAAAAAACAACTGTTTGTGTGATGCGGGCTTTGAGAGGGTGAGATGGAGGTTAGATCTGTGCTGTTATCCATGCTGGTGGCATATTGCAGCTTTGGGGCAGCAACAAGCAACAAATCAAAGAACAAAGCTGATATGCTAACCGGTGCAGACTGTGTGTATATATCCAAAAACACACATGCGTACGCACACACACTCGAGTCGAGCGCAAAAACCCGATGTGCCGTCAGGTGCCCTGTGGGCGGTTTGCCGCCTGGTTAGTATGAAAAGATTATTTTCCCCTAAAAAGGCAGGAAGCTAAGTGAGAGAGATTCTTTCGGGCAGGGCTCTGGTGTAGGAGGGGATCAGATCTGATGCGAACTGACACTTTAAAACAGCTGCCAAATTGAAACCATTTATCAAAATCTGACATCTGAGATCCAGTCACCAAAAAAAGCAGTTTATTTGTAAATTGATACTAATAGTGAGCATACATTGTCTGGCTGCTTTGATGCTGTGATACGTGGCAAGGGGAGACCGCCAGCTATCACCTCTTATATACTTATACATTCAAGAGGAAAACTCAATAAGAATGTAGACAGTTTTTTTTTTTTCACCGCCTTTTTCCTGTTCCTGGTGCCTCGTTTTTTGACACAGGCCTATAAATAAATAACCAAGTAAATACACAAGGCAGGAAAGGAGGTAAATAAATAATTAAGTGAATGAATAAGTAATTGAACACTGCAAATAAGTAAATAAATTGGGCTAAGCCAAAAAATGGCAAAATATTTAGTGGTATTTTTTAAATCAAAATTCAATGGTCAGGAATTAGCAAGTATTTGAACAAATACTGTAGATAAAGTTACTTAGCACAGAATAGCCTTCCCCAACTTGCAGAAAGCTTTTTACAGAAAGACGTGTCAGTCACTCCATGTTGATGGCTTCAAACCAGTTCATTGGTAGTTGAAAAATGTCTCCCAGTTTGTTTGAGTTTAATGTGAGACCAAATATTCACTATAGGGGTTCAAATCTAGACTCTGACCAGGCCAAAACATGAGCATGATGGACTTGTTCTCTTGGTTGACTTTGCAGTTTGAGCAGGAGCATTGTCTTGTTGAAAATAACATCTGGTCATTCCTCTTTAGATAACTTTTCATTTGTGTGAAGCAAGCTATTCTGCAATATTCTCCTGTACACCACAGCATTAAAGGACTTTTCACATGACTTTTCAGCTAAAAGGCTCCCCACACAATGACACTCTTCCTCCATGCTCCTGTGTGGTAGAGGTGCTTTTATTATCATATTTCTCTCCAGATGTTTGAAGACACCGCTCTGAAGCATCACCATGCAACTCATCACTCCAAACACAACTTTCCATTTCTGCCAAAAACTTAATTCTGTCTTTGATGTTTTTCTGAGACAGCAATGGCTTTTTAAGTAGTTAGCATTTGCTTAAATTTCCTGACCAATCATTTGTGGTTAAGTCAATTAAAAAACTTAGTGTTTAGCTATTTTTGGCTCGGTCTATTTTTTTTATTTGTGTATAACAATGCACAGAGTTTGACTGTGAATTTTGCATTTACTTGACTCCTTCCAAAATCCTGATCGGATCTGCAGTGTGTGTGCCAGTGATTGCCCCAGCATTTAGAAACCCCAGCTGTGTTTGTCTGCGACGACCTTTGCTGGGGCCAGGCATGTATCAGGTTTATCTATAATTTCATTTCCAGTCCCAAGGTTTGGCCGTGAGCACACACCTCTCCGTCCAGATAGATCATGAATATGGACGTGATTCAGGACGCTCCTCTGTCCCGCATGCAGCTGCGTTTCTCTCTGGCATACGGGACACACGTTCCTGGCAGTCCCAGGTTACCGCGAGGTTAACGACCTGTGAGATTCTCTCAAAAGGACACCTGGATTATGGTGTTTCTTATGAACTCAGATTGGTGGTCTCTCTTAGCAAATGAGTCTGCTTCCAACACAAGACAATCAAATGCACATTAAATTAAACGAAAAGTCCTGCTGTTTGCATGTTGAAATGAGCTTTCTGCTCAGTCAGAGATGTACTTTATGTACATGTGGTAGCTCTCTGAAGCCCTGGACAAAAGTATGGAGACTGGGGCTAGTTGTCACACTTTTTACTTAAGTGAATATTTTTAAACGTCAATTTCTATATGGATGTTAATCTTGATCCTAAAAAGCTATTGAACATTACAACTATGATTGCCCAGGAAAAACTTCTGTGACAACATGCCCCATTAGCAGGTCATATTGGTTCATACTGAGTTCTCAGGCAGTTCTCAGTTACACTATACAGTATGTGGTAACTTTGATTAACAATTTGATTAACAGGCATAAATCAGCATATTTTAGGATTTCAGCTTAAATTAAACAGCAAAGTAATTATGAAACAAAAAATTAATAAATTAGAAAAAAAAAACAGTATGTAAAATGTAACAGACAAATATCAAGCCATTGTTTTGGTCAGCAGATATTTAAATGAATAAAGTCCATAAAGTACAACAACATGTGACTTGCTAATTTCAATTGACAAAAAATTGATGAAAAAAAACAACATAAAAAGCTACTTTTAAAGTAAATACATTTGTGCAGTTTTAGCTTATTCAGATATTGCTTGCGTGACAACTAGCCCCGGTCTCCCTTTTAAGCCCTGTTTATACTTCCTTAAGAGGAAGCATGTTATTGACTTCCTTTGCCTTGTCATGTTGGTGCATTTTACTTTATCAGTTGCTCTTTATTAGCACGATAAGCTTGTGGATGTGTGTGTGCGTGTGCGTGCGTGAAAGTTGTAATGTTGTATGTATGTGTTTGTGGTGGACCTCTGCTCACCAGGCTCAGTGTGTGTGTGTGTGTGTGTGTGTGTGTGTGTGTGTGTGTGTGTGTGTGTGTGTGTGTGTGTGTGTGTGTGATTTATCATTGTTAGGGGACCTGTCGGATGGCTTGCTCTCCCGGGTCAGCTGATCTGCTCTCGCCGGGCGCTTGAGAACCATCCTCCCATAATTGAGCCCCTGGAAAGAAAGCAAGGGGAAAACAGGAGGACGAAAAGATAGGAGGAAGATAGAAACAGGCTTGTTCGGGAGACAGCCTTCAGGGCTAGAGAGCCGAGAGCCGGGCCAATCTAAAGTCAAACAGACTCACCTTGTTACCTGTGCTGAATGAACTATAGAGCTTCTGAACAACTCCTCGTGACCCATTCACCCACATACACTTAACACACACACACACACACACACACAGAGACAGCAGGGGGCCAGGAGTGTTGAGATGGTTTCATGCTGTGATGCTGGGCTGTGGAGTTCTGTGAAAAGGAAAAGGAGAGGAACACAGCATCTTGATGCACCGTAACACGTGCTCTCTGCCTTTTGGCAGGTAGAGTGAAGAGATTAACATGCAGACATGAATCCAGCTCATCCAGAACACCTCTCAGGGGAAGGAGCCGCTCGCACGCCTCCCTGAGCGAATCTCTCGTAGAGTCCGAACCCTTCCCGGCCTGTCTCTTAAAAAGAAAGGTTCCAATTAGAAGCGAAAGGAGTTTTACAGACATTTGTTCAACAAAGAAAGAACTTTTTTGTAACGATGTTCTCAGGCAGTTTGATGTTGGGGATGAATCAGAACAAACGGTAGCACTTAATTTGACTTTTTACAGTAATTACAATAACTGGGTAATAACTAGGTATTAAACCTGAACCTAAACCAACTCATAGTTGAACCTAAACTTAACTCCCATATAGTTACCTTATATTACCCAGTAGTTCTTAGGTAAGTACACTGTAAGTACATAAGTGCACGTACTGTAAAATAAAGTGTAACCGAACAAACTGTATTATCTGTTACTTGGTAAAATGGTTTGGCCCAGTGTTTATTTACAGTGTAATTTTAGTATTATGTATATATTATTAATAATATTTTGAATTAGCTTTATTTTTATATTTTCAGTTTACATTTTGATTTTAGTTTAATTTAGTACTTTAAAAAAAATATTCAACTATCAAATTATTACTATATAGCCTAGGTCTGATTTATTTTTATTTCCATTTTAGTTCCGTTTATTTATTTTCAGTTAGTTATGTTAGTGTTTTAACTTCATTTAGTTACCAAGGCAACATTGTTTTTAGTTTTTCATACGATATTTATATTTTATTTATTTTTATTCAGCTTTATTTTTAATTTACAAAAATGTTGTTAATAGTTTTAGTTGTAGTTAATAATAATAAATCTTGTTTGTTCCATGCATATAAATGCATGTAAAAAACTGCAAGACGTTTTGACGTGTTGGCATTTGCGCTAAGGGTGCCCAGAGGCTATTTGGGTTGCGAGACAAAGCTCAGAAGATTGTGTTTACCAAATAGCATAACATCATATAATTTGAATCCTGAAAAACATAATATCATTTAATAAAAAATAAAAAAAATTAGTGTCTCAAGAGCCATATAGCCATCTCAAGATCCTTTGAATTTTTTATATATATATATATATATAGCGTCCTATAAAGCTGCAAACAATTTAGCAAAAGTTATTTTTCAGAGTATATGTAGGAACCGGGGGTGATGGAGTGGGCAGATTCCTCCAGTCGCTGACCCTGCAGAGGATCACTCACAGTCCTCTTGGTAGCACAAGAGACACTCTTGCCTCGTCCTTAACCTGTGATGCAAGGGACCCTCCATAAGATCCCATCACCTGAT